CTGTCGGAGCATTCGCTCGCCAAACAAGTGGAGACCTTCGCCTAACACAACATTCCATCCAAATACACAACTCAAATATTCAAATCCGGATTCTTATTTATCAGTTGTCCAAATAACTAAGCCACTGAGAGAACTGATGTAGCAGCCTAATAGAACTGCTGATTAGCTTGATATACTCTTTAAAATATTAACTTATTACATATACTAATACATTTTAATTATAACAAATATTTATTTGTCTTCAGCACAGCCTACAGGGGAGCTACACTATTAATATCTCTCTAAGTATTTGATATTTCAATTTTGTATGCCATCGATCGTCAGGTCGCCCAGTTCCAGATGCGTCACGTCATAATTCCCACAGCTGTGCAGGTTCCAATAGCCCGGGGTAATTCCCATCTACGTCATGACTTTAACCTAATGGCATAAACAAAATCGAGAATAAGAATGCCAGAAAAAAACATAATTGTCTTAAAGAGAACTCAATTTCCATGCGACAACTAAATTCAGTTTCAGTTGCTATTTTTTTTATATATATATTTTTTTGACTAACAATTTTTCTTCTTTTTTTTGGCGCAATGCCAAAAGCCCCCAGTTTAAACAATTGTTCTATTGTGTGTTGTTTTGGAACGGAAAGAAATAAGAAAAAAAAACATAGTAATAATAACAGAAGAAGAAAAAACCGAATGCTAACGGTATCTAGAGTGACGATTATGTAAGACAAAACAGACAAAAAAAAAAACACTGACAAACATCTAAGTATACATTAGCAGAGGGCGGTGCGAGGCGAGAGTGTGGGTGCGGGGGGTGGGCACACCATTTGCCCCCATGGAGGTCGTCGGTTTGAGGTGCGTGCTGCGTAGGCTGCAGCTTAGCCAAACAGTCTGAAGCAGTTGCCAGCTGGAAGTTTGCCTCTTTGCCACTTGGCCTCCAGGCAGATGGCACGCCAGTCATGTGAACCAGGCAGCAGCAGCAGCGGCAGCTAAAACAAAGCCACTGACAGTCCACAAAGTCAACTGCAACTGCA